AGGCAGACGGCTCTCTGTGTGCTTGTGTACTTGTGTACTTGTGTACTTGTGTACTTGCTCTTGCTCGCACGCAGTTACTTAGTTACGATGATAGCTGGTTCTACCTGTCCGCCTGCCTTTGCTTTGGGGAATGGGGTGAAAAAAGGCAAGGCCGGTAGGCAAGAAACCTGGGGTAGAGAAGCTGGAGCCCGTGACACCGCTATTGATATGCTAGCTCGCACGAAGCCTTGTTTTGGCTTGCGGTGAAAATCCTATCAGTCATTGGAGGATCGTCTACGTAAAGGTTCTACTCCATCAGTACATTGGTGTACGTTCTTCGCTTCAATATTTTTCATCTAAACGGTCGGCCTTTCGGAACCCAAACATCACGATGGTTACAACGTCTATTGCCGAAACGGCACTTGCAGTGCCAGCCAGCCTCTTCCGAGCATCCGCAGCAGCAGTAACGCCGACATCATAACAAATTCGAGCAACGACTCGTTATTGTGCATGTGGGAGCATCAGTGGCTTTTCAGGGTGCAGGAGACATCAGTGGAAGCTGCTACTACGAAAGAGCACCATGTGGTAACGCTGCCGCCAGTTGCATTGCCAGTGGCGGAATGGCCGCCTTGACAAGCTTTGTCGCTCGGGGTTGGCAACGACCCAGTCGGGACGCTGAACGCCGGTGTAGAGGGTAGTCCCTGTCGAACTTCGGCACGCTGGTTCCTCATTTAGTGTCTGCCGCGGATCCAACGTGATGAAGGACGGGCGGGGAAAATTTGACGCATCCCACACGGCAGTCCTTCAAACAAACGCGATGACCGTTAGCACAGGAACACTTCCGATGAATAATGTCACAGCAGCTTTGTGCGCTCGGGAAATGAGTACTAACAACCAACCAACTTCGCAGGTGGTCGGGAAGGGAGGGCTAGAGTGTCGAAAGACTCTTAATAATCCGCGGAGCCCTCCATGACTCCGCACTACGCGTAGTGATCGCTACGCCGATCGTGACGAAAATATTCCAAAAGATGAAAGCATCCCCACTTGTGAACCAAGCGAGTCTGTGAGTCTGCATATCTGTCGTGAGAACGTAGGAATATCTGCTGTTGGAGCAGATCATCAAGTTCGGGTCTTAGATCTGGAATACAGGTGATCAGCAGCGGAGAGGACTGCTCCTAGCCGCAGCATCGGGGACCCCCTCAACATCGGTAGCATGGAAGACTACTTTCTCAATAGCCAGGGAGACTTCCGCAACAGCAACAACAAGGAGGGCCACAACTCATCAGCCCGGAGGATCTCCTTCGCACCACCAGCACTGGACCCCTCTTTTTCACCTGCCTCCGCACCAGCCAGGTAGCTTTTACCGGCCGGGGGGGGGTTCACCAACAGTTCAATCAGTCAGATGGCTTCCACCCGCCTGGGGGGTTTCCTCAACATGCCCAGGCATTTACCCATGTTTCACGACGAGACCCAGGGTCACAGGTTGGCCCCCAAACTCGGCCAGGGGGGGGGGGCACTGGCCATCACCACCACCAACTGTCAGATCCTATTTTCGGCGGAGAGCCTTAACCTCCGATGGGACCTATACACGGACCCGGGGTTGGTGGGAGGACAATATGGACCACCGCCGCACTCTTCGGTATTCAACGCCAAAATGGTAGACTCCAAACAGCGTTGTCACGTTGCGGAAAACACCGGGTGTATGAATTGCGTGCCGTGTTCACGAACCGACAATTGAATTGACAGCGGTCATGCTGCATCCACGAAGGAGGGACTACTTCAACATGTCTCTCCATGTCGCGCATTTGCGAGCGTGTTCATACACCCGAAGTTTGCTCAACATTCCCCATGTGGACAAAGTTAACGAAAGCCCGTTCATGTGCATGTTGTCACCCGTTAATATGTCTATCACATGTATGTCTCGTCTATGACTGGTATGTGAGAACCCTTTGACGCCGTTCGCGTGTCAATCGCTTCTCTGGAAGAGAAGATTTGACCATGTACGGCGACCTGTGGGCCTCCAGCAAGTTGCAACAATTACCCAACAAGAAGAGAAGGAAACCACCGGGGATTGAGGAGTGGATGAAGCTATGATTCCGCGCTGATTCCCAGCCCCGAGCAACCGGTCTACGCACGAACTTTACTCAGCTACAAAGGTGAGAGATGACTGAGCGTCTTGTATGATCGTCTTTTTACTGTAGCTGTTTTAACACCATGCACTTTAAACGGTGACCTCTTCACTACAATTGCACGTCGCCTGGGCGGTGTGGCGTTGCTTGCTGAGGTGGACAGCGAAGGGCTGGCTCTGGACGTACGTGCGGCGAGCCTGGCGTGATAGCGCCTGGAGCACACGTGTTTCTATGACTAAGGACTCCGGAAAAGGTGACATGTGGACATATGCTATTTCGCTTTTGTAATGCTTCCCTGTAGTTTTGTCTTGATGTTCTTTGGCTCTCTTGGACAAAAAGCACTAAGGTTTGCTACAACATTGTTTGGATGGTATATTGCTCACGTGCGTAACGAAATAGCTTGTTGTCACAGCGGTATGAGACAACACGGTAACATCGGCTTACGATGCTTTAGCCTTGACTCCAACTGGCTGGGGTTCAATCAATTTGGTGGGTGAGCTCCTCTATGGGGCACAAACTGAGGTGAAACGATCACATCTGCGTTCCAGATATCCAAGGTCAAAACGTAACTTACTGCTCCAACAGCAAAGGGGTTCCTTCGCTCTCATGACAGATGCGCAGTCACAGTCTCGGTTGGTCAAAAAGTGTGGTTGCTTTCAGCATGTTTGTTTGTTTCTACTCCTTTCGCCACGATCAGCCGTAGTAAAAACTACGGGTAGTGCGGAGCCATGAGGGGCTCCGCGGTTTCAGGGTCTTTGGACACCCTAGCCCTCCGCGACCAACTGCGAAGTTGGGTGGCTATCAGTATTTCCCTAGTGGTCGCTGCTGCGACACCCCCTCAGCATAATGTGTTGAAAACCCCAAAATAATGAAGGGGCAGCTTCACGCTCGCTTCTCCCGTAAATATTGTACCACGCCGGGAACCTAGCCCTACACGTAGTGAAGGGAAGATGCCGCCCTTCCTAGGTTAGACCACACCGGGAATTTAAAGCTGGAGAAGGACGAATGCCGGTCTTGAGGTCGCCGTCGATGTTACATCTCGATAGTGATCAACCTCAAACGGCGACCATCAATGCCCAGGCCGCCGAGAATCGGTCTCCCTGACAAAGACGACCTTGAATTCCTCGAAAATGCCACTGCCGCGATATCGCCCCAGCTCTCCGCACGAAAAGCAGGGAATTGCCGGCAGCGTACGGCGTCAGGACTCTTGAGTCGTAGACGACGTGTCGCCAGGTCGATGCCCCGTAGTAGCTCCCTCCGGTTGAGCTCTTCCAATTCGTTGTCCCAGCATCCCACTCTCCAATACGGCTCGTTGAAGTCGCAGACTCGTCCTCGGCTGATGACGATATTGCCCGCTTCACCCGTGACCGCCTTAACCACTTCGGTCCCACAGGAAAACTCCGCAAGAGCTTCAGCCCTGCTGGTAAAACTTCTCTGTCCTGGTTGTGGGTTGGGGTAACGGTCTGGCTGACAGTCCTAGCCGTCTGTCTGTCTGCCTTCACTTGCTATCTAGCTGGCTATCTACTGACAAATTTAGGGTTCGGATCAGATGCCAGCAAGAGCAAGTACACAAGTACACAAGTACACGGAGAGCCGTCTGCCTGCCGAGAAATCCAGCTAGATCTCGACAGCTGCTGCCAAGAAACCACCAGAGGTCCCGATTTCGACATCGATCTGCACAGAAATCAGAAACCAGAGGTCGGCCTCTGATCTCGACGTCTGCCCAGAACAAATCAGAAATCAGTCTCCTCAATCTCTCGACACCTACCTGCCGAGAACCACAAACATAAATCTCTCGACGAAACACCGTACTCCGGTCTCGAACCTAGACCCCCCCCCTCTCGCCTTTCGTTCCGTGGTGGTGTTGCCTTGTCGTCCGTTCTTGGAAACAAACGTGGTATCGTGG